GATAAATTCGCGTATTAGTAGGTGATGTGAGTGCTGAGAGAAGTGAAGCAGGGCTGAGGGACAGGGAGTGGTGTGGGGAGAGGAAATTACTATTTTAAATCAGGAAAGAAGCAAGAGGTGAGGACCTCTCTGCAAATATTTGGGAGGGAAGCATCTCTGGAAAACAAACAACAGCAAATGGGAAGCTTGAAGTTCAGAGGAAAAGAAATGGAAGACAAGACTCTAATTTCACCCTTATTCTCCCTTATTTTGTTGACAGTCAACTGCTTGGTTTTAATGTAAACCACAAATCTAACCAGATAAACAGGTTCTGTGCAGATGGGGAGCTCAGTGAGCGGTATAGATCAATCTTTCTCATTCTGTGATATTTACTGATGTGCCAGGCACACCCAGAGCTCCCTCACAGATCAGATGGGCAAGGTCCTGGAGCTGTCCAGCACCACGGCCCTGCACAGATTCAGTCCCTCCTCCTGCCTGCATGAGACTTACGGTCTGTAGGAGACAGTCACCAGGGCAATACCTGTGACTCAAGGGGAAGTAGAGAGTACTAACCCACACACTCAACAGCATCTACTGTTACTCCTCTGGGGAAGCAGGAAGGCTTCCTGGAGGAAGTGATACTTCAGCTGAGGCTGGAAAGTCAATAAGAGTGTTCAGAAGAGAGAACACAGGGCCTTATAAACCTCTGAAGGTTAAAGACAATGGAAAAAAGCATGGGAGGGTTTTTAAGCAGGTGACTGACACAAATACTGGAGGGCTTTATAAACTTGAATAAGTTACGTGGCCAATGGGTATAAAAAAATAAAATAGTTCAGGTCTCCCTGGTGGTGCAGTGGTCTAAATCTCAGTGCTATCAGGCTATCACGAGCCACTACAGCATGAGTTCGATCTTCAGCCAGGGAGCTGACCCACGTGGCACAGCAGACCTCTCCTGTCTCACCTACTGCTCCCCTCAGCAGTATATTTCAGTAGACCTGCCTGTTCTGCCCCCCACTGTCTCTGGTGAATCCTCTTACCCCCACCCCCTTTATAGCTTGCACCCCAGCTCTGGTATACATAAATAAATTTTTTTAAATTTTTAAGAAAACAATAACATAGCTCAAGGATTCAATGTCATCAAATTCTTGCAGTGCACACACACTAAATACATTCTCAGGTGTCCCAAAGGAATAGAGAAAATGGCCAATGAATAGCAAGACCAAAGTATTTCATGTGGTTTGTGCTCTAAGTGGCTGGATAATTAATACAAATTGCACAGACTTAAAACAGCTGGGCTAGTCAAGCTGGTGCTGGTAAAGACCCACTGTGTTGTCACATCTCCACCTCCCTGCCAGCCATGGGGAAGGACAGGCTGAAAATGCCCCAAAATGCCCTGGACAGATGGATTAAACAACAGAGGTGCTGGGGCAACAGTAAGCAAATGTGACAGACATATTTCAGAATCTGGGACCTATTTTAATACAGCAATGGGCTAGTCATTACTACCATCAAGCAATGAGAATCCCAAGGAAACTGAGGAATTAACATAGGCCCCCACAATGTCTAAACATTAGACAGGGTGTAATGAAAAATAGTATCAAGGATAAAAAGGAGCAAAACCCCCAGGGCCTGAAAAACTTAACATGCTGCTGCTTATCTGCTTTGTTGTGTGTCTGTGCAGGACGCACGGATTCACATAGAGCCCGTGGCAAAGGCATCGACTTTTTTCATGGTGCTGAACCTCTAAGAACCTGATGAGCTTCTCTGAGAGAGAAGTAGCAGCCCAATCCAGCTCAGCTATACTCAATCGGAGTTGCTTTCCTACCTACAAACCCTCACTTCAAAGCAAGGAACATAATGTACAATTTTTTAATGGCTCTAGACCCAGGCACTCAGGCTCTCTGCTCTGCGCCTTACCTCAGTGTAAACACCTAATCAAGATTGCCTGTGCTTCAACAATAGCAGCCAAATGCAATTCGAGAACCACAAGCCTTTGAAGTCCTCCCAGCAAAGGCCGGTTTTCTAGTCTGGGATAATGACATGCCATGATTGCTGTCTTTGTTGTATCTTTTCAGTAGAGAAGCAATTATAGGCCCCAATTTAACAGAATAGACATTACACAGCTTATGATGCTCAAAATGCAATTTCATTTGATCATTTTCTCGATTTGATTGGTATTAATAGAATGGTTCACAAAAAAAAAAAAAAAAAAGCTGGCAGAGGTTATGTCCCATTCCACTTTCAAAGAGATAATGTAGAAGTATGTTTTACTTGCCCAGAGACTCTCTCCAGGGTGATTCAGGCAGTGAGTTCCACCCAAACAGCCTGTGGCCAGAAATCATGTACTTCCAACATTCTCTGGGGAAGGAAGCCTAGGAACGACGCATTTTTAATCTGTAAACTTTTTACCAGAGCTACCTAAGGGATCCCATTCTTGTCACTAGAACAATTGTTAATGGAACAGTCGAACAAATGAAAACCTGGATTAACTAAAAAAAAGCCAGGAGTCAGACATCCTAACAGCAGATCTAGGAATAAGCCAACTTCACCTTTCACCCAGACTCAGCCTGTTGGCAGTTTGGAAAGGATTATTTGCTGGCTAGTTTAGCAGGCTCTTCAGAATTTTTTGCTCTTGTGACCTTTATGTCTCCTCCTGACAAAGTTGATTTTAATTTTTCTTTTCAATGAGCTGTACTCCTTTTTCAATTTGTTGCAATAGGGGACTGAAATCTTCGAATGATGAAAAGTTGTAAAACCTAATTTTTTTAAATATTATTTAGTGCTTCCTGAACCAGAACTGTGAAAGGGAGAATTTGAAAGCACAGAAGTGTTTGAACATCAGCTGTGAGACTAAGTTCTAGATTTCCCATTTCCATCCAAGTGAAACCATGTTATGGTGTGGTAGAATTTGTGGGGAGGGGGGGGCCTGGGGGCTGGTTAACACCAAACCTGTGATGATGAGCCTGTGTGAGCAGAAAAATCCCAGGACCAAATAGTACCTTTTGCTTCTTATATTAGCAGTGAGGTTTCAAGCACGGAAAAGTTTTATTTTCATTTTTTTCCCCACTTTCAGATCAAACTAAGAATTTAAATTTCCAGATAGTCTGTTTGCCTACCCTTGGTATATGAGGACAGATGGGAGTTGGGGTTGAGAAGAGGTTACACCCCAAATCAAGCAGCATGTCTTTACCAGAGAAGTGACATAGAGTGGTAAGGAGTGAGGTTCTTGTCATTGCTAAGTGCTTACTTTTAGCAAATATTTCAGGTTTTTTCCATACTGAATACAGCCTGTAGAAGTCTAAGGTAAAAGCAAGCAGCAGAGGGAGAATTTGAAAGCAAGCAGGACACAATTTCAAGCCTATGGTTTTACCCCGTGTTAACACTTGCTGCTTCCCAAAAGACAAGCCCATCCATGGGCATTTTACAAAACAAGTATAAAGGCCTGAAGCTAAATTTAAAAATAAATCACATCCATTTAGAGAGGCAGAGCAGCAAGTATAGGTGATAAAGCAAAATAGCCAAGTGACCCCAAACCTAGTGACCTGCTCTAGCAGGAAGGACACTTAACCCCTGAGAGAGGTCTTTACCTAATAGAAGCCTTTGGAAAGATCCTCACCAGCTTCTAACCGTCTTAGTCTGAGAGAGACGGACTTAGTCTACTGCAGAGAGCAGAGGGACAGAAATGGCAGGATGACCTATCGCTACACTTGCTCAATGATGGGAGAATATGCTCATCATCCAGGAAAGAGATTGAGAGATCTAACATTGGACCCCATGAGTGATTGAAAGGACCAGGTCTCCCAGAGAAAGGGACTCTTTGTAGATCACCCTATTCTTTTTCTCTTCCCTGATCATAAACCTTTAAATGCTGTGCTCACATGAACTCCTGCCAGGAGACGGGACATGCATCAAGACAACTCATGGGTGAACCACCACCAGAGATAGAAGTGCTGGCAGTTAATCTCATGTACTTGCAGGGTCTCATCCACCACAGAGATATTACAACCTTGTTTTCTGAAATGCTATATGATGGATAGGATCTCACGCTGCACTGAGACTACTCCATTTCTTGATTTAAAACAGGAAAGCAATGGAGGCAAAAAAGACCTCTCATTAAGTTGGGGACCGAATTCCCATGTAGCTGCTTTCATCAGGGATTCTGAAACCTGGCTGCAGATTAGACCCATGCAGGGAACTTTTGATATCTGGGGCCACCTCAAGAGCTTCTGACTTCACTAGTTTGGGATGACACAGGGCATTACTGTTTTTTTAAAACGCTTCCTAGTCTATTGTAATATCTAAGTGAAGTTGAAAACCAGCATTACTCAAATTCACTGAGTGCCAAAACTGCAAATTCTGCAAGTCAAAGATGGTGTTCTAAGAAGTAAATTCATCTTGCAAAATTGTTCAGTGTGCAGGTGCTGACATCGGACTGTCTAGGTCCTCTGCTTAGTAGCTGCTGGTCAATTCTGGACAAGTTACCTAACTTCTCTGTTCCTCCCTTTTCTCATTTGCAATAAAATAATAATAGTGTATATTTGATAAGGTAGTTGTGAGGATTAACAATCTAGGTGAAGTGCTTAGGACAGCTATTAGCACACCATGAGCCTCCAATGTGCTTAAATATTTTTACCATTATATTGAATATTATGTACTCAATACATCATTATATTCATATTTCATTTGACATATTCAAATAGTAGTTGTAGTATGCAGTTCAGGTAACTGTTCTAAAATTTTATCTCCATGAATATGAATGAAGCATTGAGAGTAATTATTCATTCTACCTAAAAGCACAAGTTCTCACATCATGCCTCCAAGAAAAAAAGACAAAAACATTGTTTATTCCATTTTCTTTGGGAACCATCCATGTCCCCCAGAACAGAGATGAATCCTTAAAATGAACTGAAAGTAAAACTTAGCCCTGCAGGACTTCTTTCTGCAGCACATAGACTTTAGCCTCAAGGCTCTAAGACTAAAATGAATACAGTTAACATGCTATATATGTTTTACCCTCTTAGATCTCCTACCTGGTCAGAGTAAGTGACAAGACGTCCTTTCAGAATGCCAAAGAGATGGAAAATGCTGCCATCGATCCTGAAGACAAATGGCATCAAAGAGCCCAACAGCTAAAGGTTACCTGCTAGATTGAATTTTAAGTGTATTTCAAGGATTACTGCTGAATACAAGTAATGTTCGTGACTGACTTCTTACCACTTAAGGGTCTATTCTTATGCCCACCTCCCTAATAGTCAGCCTGACTTCTGCCCAGATAAGCCAATGCTTGCTCAGCCAACTCTGTTTTTCCAAAGATTCTGTTTCAGGGAGGAAATTCATCCTATTACTTTTTAAACAGTCAGCATTAAAAGCCCTCACAGAAGAAAAGCATGGAGAAAATACGGGGGAAGAAAAATCGCACTTACAAACATTGGCCAATTTTATGCTTCCCCTAAGTCTGTTTCCTTTTGTAGTTAGCAATTCCGTTGTAAGTCTAGGTGATGGGGTATATGTGCCTAACAATAGTTGTCCCACAGAACCCTCCTTCAGAGTGTGAAAGGCTACTAATAAGCCACTGCGCATAAAGATGTCCTTTTCTGGGGCCTCTAGTGACACAATGGGTTAAAAGTGAAGCACTATGAAGCAATCTGCAGCACAAGTTCCAGCCCTCGCCAGGGAGGTGACCCACATGGCACAGCAGACCTTTCCTGTCTCGCCCCTGCTCCCCTCAGCAGTGCATTTCAGTAGATCTGCGTGTTCTATTCCTTGTTCTATCTCTGGTGAATCCTCTCATCTCCTGCATCTCTGTCCTACACCCCAGCTCTTGAATGCATAAATAAATTTTGTACAAAAGAAGACATCCTTTTCTGAGATAGAAAGGTGTGCTACTTTAAAATCATAATGTAGTTTCAGGGCAGAGTCTTGTGAAACTATTCCCATTGACTGCTATTCTGGAAAAATCAGGCAAAGCTGGTTTCTGCTTGAGCCAGTATAGGGATTTATATGGAGCTGGTAACTCTTGGGCCAGGTTTTATCCCTGCTTAAGAAGGGATGCACCCTTGGAAATCAATGAAGCTATGGATAGGATCATTTAAAACTATATACAGTGGTAAAGATAATGAAACTATAAAGTCCATTCCATTTTCAGAAGTTAGAAAAGAGGGAGCACTCAAATATCATCTTCCCTCCCCATGCACCCTTAGAATTATAAAAACAGAAATAAAAGCTGATGTTCTCTTAGGTCTCCTGGAAGCCAATTCTAGAAAGGACACACCCACAAGTTAGGAACAGAAATGGGACCAGAGGTCAGGTTATGACACTGGGCACGAGGACATGACAGGGAGTCTAGGGAGTTTGGCCAAGCAGATGGAGAGGACAAAGGAAACCTTAAGGCTCATTGTGTGTTACAGATAATGGGCAAGATCTAAAGATATTCTGGGCCTTGACCAACCATTTTCTTGTTGCGTAATTTTGGGTGAACTTTCTCCAAGTCTTCGGTTTCTTCCTTGGTAAATCAAGGGTTGGTCAAAATGAGCTATAAGGTCTATGCCCGCTGCAAAATGTTATGGTTCTAGGACCTTCTTTTTCTAGATAAACTATTGTACCACACTCACTTGAAGTATACACAAACCTTGTGTTTGGAACTGTCATAACTATCACCCAGGAAAAGTATAGGATTCTTAGGCAACCATAAAGTAATCAGGGTCAAATCACAGACTTGGTGCACGGCATGGCCCTAGATAGAAGCAGCAAAAAAACAAAAACTAAAAAATGACAAAACTTGAGAAGAAAATCATACAGAGGCATGAAGAGTTGAGCAAATACAGTATTCTGGTGTCACACATGGGCCAATTACTGACAGAGAAAATGGGAGAAAGAGGGCTGGGGTCCATCGTGGGACTTCAAAAGGCTTTTCATCAAGAGAGTTTAGATTTGATGCTGTGGATTAACAGGAAGTACTGGCAAATTTTGAGCAGGCTAATGACAATCTGGCTTGCATGCCAGAAAGTTCATGCTGGCCATGGTGGGAAGAATAGTTTGGAAGGGAGTCAGATTAGACAGTCAGGTGAACTTTGCTGTGGTTTCCACCCAAGAGGGTGCGAGAACACAGAGGTGACAGCATTTGCTCTGTGTGTCACCTTCACGCACATCTTGTTCAGCACAGTGGCTGAACTGGATTAAACTTCTTACAGGTCAGACTCCCCTAGCCCCTGTCCAGAGAGGGTCAGAAAGGGACACTGACAACCTGAGGGATTGCTTAAAGACTTGGAGAAGCAGGGAGAGAGAAAGAATGGTTCTAGGAGTCTGATTAGTGGCATCAGTCTACAGAGGAGTGGGAGGAGGCTTTGGTACTGGGCTGACAGGGATGACCTGAGGTCAGGGCTGGGTTTGATGCCACGTCTGGAGGTGCCAGTGGAGAAGAGACCTCGGATCTGAACATGAAACTCAGGCATCTCTGAAATGGTCGTGTGCATTCGCATCTTAAGAATTCACTGGTATGTTGAGGGTATGGGAATGGCCACTGTGCCCCTTGGAATTATAGGTCGTAGAGAAGAGAGGAGGGTCAAGGAGCCCCTGGAGAGAATGGAGGAATGTTAAAGGAGAGAAGAGGCAGAGAGCAGAAGGTGAAGACTAAGAAGGAATTGCCAGAGAGAGATCCTAGTAAAAGCCAGAGGTTACTAGTAAAACAGTTAAGTAGAAAAAAAAAAAAAAGTGTGGCGTCCTCAGGAGATGAAACTTTGAAGAAAGAGACATCAGTGAACAGCAGCAAACTCTGCAAATAAGTAAAAATGAGCCATGGAAGGGAGGTGATACCTACGACTCATATATGCAAATCTCAAATGAGTCAGAAAATACAAGTGATAATGTAAGCAATACTATAAATGAGAAATTTATCTATTTGTGTGTCTACTTGTACATGGACAGACAGACAGAAAGAGTGATGACATGCAGCAAAATGTTAAAAACTGGTTACTCCTGATAAGAATATCTGAAAATTCTGTTATTTTTGCAAATTTTCTATTCAGCGTAATTTTGAAAGGGTAAAGCGATACCTCTGAGTCATTTGAGGCTTTATCTACCAGTGAGTGCAATAAAATACAATTTTAAAATAAGTAAACTAAAAACAGAAAATAAGAGTTGAGAAAAGGAAGGCCAAAGGATTTAGCAACATTATCCGTGCCCTGAGCAGAGGCATTTCAGGGGGTGATGATAAGGGCGTGTTGCAGGTGCTGAGGTCAGGATGAGAGATGGGGAAATGAAGAGCCAGGCAGTCTATGCTCTCAGGAATTCTCTGTAAATTAAGAGATAGTTTATAATTATCCAACGATGAGAGCACTGCTAATAATGGCAAAGAAAAATAAGGTCAAGAGGTTCAACACTAGGAAAAAGGAGGAGGAGGAGAAGGAAGATGGGCCAGAATGTAGCCCTAGGAAGAAATCAACCTCCAAGAGAGGGTAAAGAGCAAGAAAGGACATTATATATATGGCTTTGAAAACAATGTGCCCTACGTCGCATAGGCTACATAGGTTATAAGTTACTAAGAGACTTATGTGTCTTTATTTTCTTCACTGAATCTACTCAACTCTTTTGGTTAAAGAAATAACATTTAAGAAAAGAGAGTTTAACCAGAGGATGAGATTAACTGAGGGATTCTTTTGATGGGAGATACTGGAGCACATTTACATGCTAGAAAGAATGAGAAACTAGACAGGGCACAGTGAAAGAGAACATATGCCACAGAGAAGGTCTCCCAGACAGTTTAAACCCTTGTGTTGAGAATGGATGGTCATCATCATCTTCCATGTAAGAGACGTCCTCAATCATTCTGTGCTCACCTGTGACTCTGCACAGGTTTTCCAAAACCATCATTATTGCACACCTGGTACTAGACGCAGTACTGACCCCTGCTGGACAGGTCAAGCAACACCTCCCACTGACAGAAAACCCTTCCCAGACAGGCTAGGGCATGTTCATTGACAAACCAGAAAGTTCCCCCCATTAAGTAAGCTTTCACAAAGATGAAATAAGGTGTTTTCTTTCTTGTCACTCTAAATTAGCTCTTGATTTTCCAGGCAAGGAAAAGGAGTAGAGTGAAAAGCAGGTATGATTTTTGACTAGTTAATGTCAAAGTCCTGTCATCACACCCTAAGGAACCTTCCCACCTTACCAAAGAGTTAATTTGGTTCTGCCAACACTATCAATAAGTCTAGGCTTCTTTTACTCACTGTAGCATACATTGCCTCCTTGCTGACGCTGAAAATAAGAGCCACTTAATATGCATGCTGTAAATTTGCTTAATATAATCAGATGAAATTGATGACTCTAGCTCAAAGTGCTACTTTATTGTTTACACAAGGGAAACTTCACACCTGAAGTTTGGGCTCCTGCCTTGCAGGATCCTCAGGACTCTGGGGTTGGTTAGGGAAACGCAAAGCAAGAATGGCTTTGTTTTACAGCAGATAAAGTTTCTGGTGCATCCCAAACGCTCCTTCCTTCCTCAACCCTTGCTGCAAAAACAGAATCGTGGTAAAAGAGAAACAGCCGGGAGCTGCTTTTCACGGGGTTGGGGGCAAACTTCCCTGGGACGGCACAGTATGAAGGAAAATTAATAACTAAGGACAGGTCTTACTAAGAAATTACCAACCCAGCATTAAGCACCAGGATTCCCGAGACAGCGTTCTGCTAGCCAAAGGGCCGCACTCTGCATGCGCAGGGGAAAGCCTACCGCCATTAAGCAGTTATTCTGAGTGCATGCAGTAGGGACTGATTGCAAGTGTGGGTAACAAAAGAACCCCAGTGAGAGTGGGATGAAATAGAGGATTTCAGTGCTGATGGAGATTAAATAGCCTGAGAATGGCTTTGTATATTAACTTCAGGGGACTCGGGTCTTGCCACCTAAAGAGTGACACCTGATGCCTCAATTGTGGGGTAATAAATCTTCAGTAAACCACAGATCTCAAGTAGGCTGCTTGGAAGGTGAGAGAAATCGCATCAAGCCCCTAAATGTCTTCCTTTCTTGGAAGTGAAATGCCATCTCTGGGCACTTATGTTTATAGGAATAGCAGATTTAACACTTGAGACAATTGAAGTTTCATAAAATGATGAGCCTTGGCCCCATTGACACAGCACCCTGTGAAGAGTTCTATTGTATGCGAACCATCAGCAGCAATAGGGGATGTGATTAAAACTTAGTGGTAACCCAACGTTTCAGGCCTGGCATCCTAGGGGGGGAATCTCAGTAAATGTCCCCCTTTTTGGTGGAGATAGGAGAGTGAATAGGGAAAAGGACAATTGAAGACAGCAGGAAAAGAGTTCTTGGTCATTTACTTCTCTAGCAAGTAAAAGTCTGAACGAGTGTTGAAAAGAATGACCTGATCAGTATGAACTGATGTATCGATCATCACAAAGGGGGTCTTTTGGACCCTAGTGAACAGTGATCACAGCCAGAAAAGCACTGCTATGTTCCATGAATGCACCCATGAGATTAAGAAATAACATATTTCTTCTGGTATGCTCTCAGGACTATTTGCAAAACCTTCCTCCTACATTTTCCCCATGCAGCTAAAACTACTGCATGGGAGAAAGAACCTTTCTCAGCTGAAACGGAGACTAAAAAGTTTTTCTTTTGGGGAATAACACAGGTGAAAATTTTAAGTTTAGAGGAATTGGCCAGGACCTGACCAATCCCCCACAGGATCAAATGCTACAGAAAATATACCTTAAATTTCAAGTTATAAGTTGTACACTCTTATGTCAAAATTGGATCTAAGACAATTAATGAAAAAAATAAGATATGAGAATTATCATAGATCACTGTTTTAAATCTAACAATTTCAATACCATTAATAATAACATGTCACTAGCTAAAGGAGGCCATTCAATATTATATAGGAATAGGATGAATCTTAGTAATTGTATCAAAAATGTGAAGTGTAAGGAGAACCCATAACATTCATTTGGTCATCTGTGTAGCAAGCAAAAATATGATTTATTCAAGATTTTTCTTCTCAAATGACCCAGGTAACTTGCATTTTTCAATTAACATTGCATAGATACAGGCCACAGAGATTTTTTTGTGTGTGAGCTCAGAAAAGAGGAAAGTATGTCCCATTAGATAATACACTGGGGCATATGGTACCTTACTGTTTTCAGTAAGCATTTAATCATTCTTTGCAAAGGCCTCTTAACTCAGCTAGTTTTTCACAAAATAATGAGTACTTTATTCCTTGGAAAATATGTCTAAATGGCTTTCGCACAATATAGTTACATAGTGTATCTATTATACCAAGAGTACATTTTGTTGTTATAAGACTTTGAAAAGCATAAAGACTGTTCTGAAATTGAAATGTCCCCCAGATGTTTGATTGCCTAAGTATAGGCTATATTAAGGAACAGAAGCAAAACAACCATTGAGGTCTCACAGATGTCCTATCACAGGCAGACTCTCTTCAAAGCCTCTGAATAAAAATCTAATTTGTTTCATCTGGTGAAGGGGTCATTTCTAGCTTCTGACCTTTATGAGTAAGAAGATCCGATCATCTGAATTGTATTTCATACTATACTTGGCTTTGGTTGGTAAAACAAATCGCTGATGTTCTTTCCAGTGAAATTCTTAAAGTATTCATCATGGTTCAAATAAGCTCACATATTTGGATGTAGATTTGTACTTTTTTGGTAAGCGGTTCCTTATCTTTAGAGGTAAAACCCTTTTCTCCCCATTTGGTAGCACTACATTTCACAGTACTTAAGTCAAAGACTTTTCCTTAATAAAAATCCCATTGTAAGCTATTTCTTTCTAGAAAATTTGTAACCTAAAATGTCCAGGAAGAATCATTCACATAACGACCCTAATTGCTGGAAATTCAGAAAGGACCCTCTGTCCTCTTTCCTTCATTCAATCCCATGGTAACCTGAATAGAAGTTTCAACCTCTAGTTTCAAAGAGCCTTACTTAAAGTTGGTCTTTAAATAAGACTGTTTTTAAATTTTAAATTTTATAGTAACTAAGACTGTAAATTTTTTTTAATTTTTAAATTTTACAGTAACTAAGACTATCTTTTTTAGAGTTACCAAGAACAGTGGTCTCAACAGGAAAGTACAAAATCAAACAATGGACTAAGAGGCCAATCTTCAGATACATCCAATGGCCAGCAACCTTCCAGAAGACGAGACAAGCACAAGATGCGAAGACGGTATGAACACTACCAAGAACTCAAGTCCTTGGTGACTGAGGTGCCAGTCATCAGTCAAGGAAACCAGAATAACAACCTCGGGCAACAGCAAAGCCAAAATAAGATCATTGAAGCCACTGTGTTGGTGAATGCCCCAAATAATGACATGCAGTTGTCAAATGCTCTTAGGAGCCAGGATCCCAAAGTGACCGATACATCTGCTCCACCAAAGCAGACTTTTGACAAGGTGTTATACAAAAACACTACTGGCTATCACACAGTTAATGTCAATAAAGAACTAGGCCGCAAAGACCAAGATGAGAAAAGACTTTCCTATCAGCAGCTGTATCTTGACACCCTTTCCAATAAGGACTTGAATTCCCTTCATGAACTTTCTAAGAGACAGGTGCACCTGAGACAGAAAGAGACTCAGTCTGTCTCCAAAACAAACATCAATGAACCAACTCAACAGAAGAAGCAACCCAAACAGATTCCTGCAGAGACAAGATACAAGAACCTAGAGCTACTATGGTAAGAATTCCCTTTTCTCAAGTGAGGTGTTAGAAGAGAGGTGAGAACCTGCTAAAGCAGGAGACAGAGCATGAGGAGGGGTCAGGGAGGTTGGCAGGTGAGAGGGAAAAATTCACCTGCCCATGTCGTGGGCTCTGATTTATGCCTAAAATAGTACACGTTGCGTCTTCCCGGTTACCTCTACTTTTCCACTGTGGCAAAACCAGGTGTTGGAAGGAGGGAGGGATTCAGGGAGCCCCGTCAAATAAGCTCTGCATATTCTGAAGGTTGTAAATAATGTTTGAAGGAAACAAATGATTCCCAACACTGTAACAGTCTATCCTAAGAAAATAACCTAATATCTGCAGCTCTGGTTTACTTAAGAGAAATAGAATTTGCCTGAACTATAAAGAAAGAAAAAGGAAGTTACCTGAGATACCTCTTAAGAAGTGAAGATACTCCTGTGACCTCCACATGGCATGTGTAGACCACAGTTAATTGGTCCCCCTCAGAATCCAATCACATATAAGTCATATGGTATAGCAGGGTAACAAAAAATTCAAGATTATAAAATGAAGATATTTTTATTTCTATGAAACACAGCATACAGGTCAAACCAAGCTATTAAGCATAAGTGGGAGAAGCATTAAGCATAGTGTTAGACCCAATAAGCCAAAAGAATCAAACACTAAGGATTATACTGGGAAGTTTATTGTAATTTATCAAAATTGTTGAGGTGTGGTTTCTTGTTAGGTGGTTTTTATTAAAAAAAAAAGAAGAAGAAGAAAATAACCTAAAATCCTTACAAATATGCACAAAATATTTTTAGGAATAACAATAACCTAACACTTAGGTAGACTATGATAATGAATATCATGTTGCCATTATAAATGATTAGGAGAGAAAACAAATGAGATACAAAATGACATATGAAGAAAAATGCACCCAGACGTCAACAGTGAATATCAGTGGCAAGAGATTGGGGTTATTTTCATTTCCTCTGTGTATTTTTTGAATCCTTCAAGTCCCTACAATATTGGTGTAATACTTCTATAATTAGGCAAAAAAGTCATTTTAAAAATCACTTCAGGGACATTATTTGCTGTCATTTGATCGAATGTATTCCACCAATCCTGGTGTTGGATTTCCGTGATTAGGTGAATAAAGTGACACTGAATCCCAAATATTGTCCCAGAATAATTCAGGGGGCATTTTTTCTGATTCAGAACTTAGGCTGAGACAGATTGCCTTCTAGGCTTGCTTGGCTGTTCCTCATGGCTGGTGAGTGAGCTTTACAAAAATCTACCATCTACCCCTTTTTGGTATGTTGGGTTATGGGGGGGGGGGTTTTGGTTGTTTTTGTTTTTGTTTTTGTTTTGACACTAGTTCTTTAAGGGTCACAGCCTTTATACAGGCATCTCAGCTCTGATTCTTTACTCATATAGGACCAAGATGTCACATCTCCTACACCCGCATTAAATGTTAAAACACAAGCCCTTGGATTCAAAACTTGCACAAAGAAACCCAAGCTTCATTTTATCCAGAGTCTGCTTTTGTTTCTGACCTTTGAAGATTCCCTGCCTCGCTCCTAAATCCAACTATGTATTTAAAGGCTGTTTATTAGATTTAATACAGTATTTCCAGGTCTTTTGTAGTGGGACAGACTTATATGTATTCCTAACAGGTGTCTTTTCTATCCTGAATGTGCTAAATGAAAGTTTCAATAAAACCTAGAATATGCCAAAGAGAAAAAGGCAACAATTTGAGAAATCAATGCACTTATGATAAGGTTAAACCCAAGTTCATTAACTTGATTTGGGGAGCGAGAAATACATCAGATAAACAGTCCTAAAGTCATTTATGCTAATCATTCTATGTATCCAGTTTGTAGTAACATATCTGTACTGCTCCCCCTCACCCCCCCATCAGGAAATTCCACTCATCCTCAGACCAACCTGCCAGAGCGTCTCCAGATTCGCGGCTGGCGGAGATCATGGAGCAGCACCAGCAGGCCTTGACGCAGCTGACGGAGGTGCAGCCCAGCAACGGGGCTTCACCCGGCCTCACGTTCCCACCTATACTTTCAAGGGTTGAAAGTGAGTCCCAACTCAGTTCAGAGAGAAGCCAAAGGAACCAAATCAAAATTAGTCGTAGCAATTCAGAAGGCTATCTGGTTCAACTGGAAAAAGGAAAAAAGCATAGGAAAAGAAGCGGCACTAAGGTATGAAAGCATTTTTATCAAGTAACCTTTTAACGTTAAGGATATGGGTGGCCTTGGTTGACCGCCCCCTTGCACTTAGCCTTGAAACGGGAGGGTCAGGTGACAGTCTCTGCCTCTCCGGGGCGGACTAAGACCTGAGGAACTTCCTTTCTGGAGCCCCTGCTAAGTCCTGGAGTCTCTTTCTTCCTCCTGGGATCTGCTGCTGCCACTTCCTAGCTCCTAGCTCAGAGAGGGTCTATGGCTTGGTCCTTCTTGGAAAGAGCCCACGTCCCATCTCAACCTATCATTTGAGCCGAGTTTCCCCAAGTACATTCTCGTTCCCAACAAGAGGGTTGAATGAGCAAAATGTCCTGTTGCCAATGCTCTGTCCCTTTCTGCCCCCCGCCCCAACCTTCAGAGATCCTCTTGAGCATAATCTCAGCTCAGCTCCTGCAGTAAAACAGATATTCAGGACAGTAATGCCTTAACTTTCTTCTGAAGCCCTGGCTGATCTCTACTGAGTACCTCTGTCTGCAATAAGATTCACCATCACTAGCGCCTCTGTGAACAAATTCTTTCCATCAACTCTTTTGGTTAATGAGGGGAATTTGGAGAGGAGAGGAAAGGTCACAAACTGGAATGTTTTCAACAAGACATAAAGGTGTATTTCTCCAGGCAATAGAAACTCCTTGGTAAAGCTCATTTGCTGTGAGGAAGAAAATAGTAAGGAGAAGATGCAAAACATGCTGTTTTAAAGTGCAACAAAGAAAGACCTGGCTGGAAGGAGGAGGCCTAGAGTGACTTGGGTTTTCCAGTAAGAGATTCTGAAATGGAGGGGCATGTGCTGGGTAAGAAGGTACCAGGCACAAGGATCATGAATAGAAGGTACACTTGAGGGAGGGGCCTTGGATAAAGAACAAAGGCTTGTCTGAGCAAAGGGGAAGCTAGACGAAAATGGACAGTGGGTTGTAGAAAAGGGAAGCCGAGGAGGGCTGTGTCAGGTTGTGACGTGACCTCAGACATCAACCAAGAACTCAGCTCTCCCACCTCAGCTCTTCCACATACCCCACCCTAGGGACCTTAAGCTGCCCTCTCTGACACTACTCCCTCACGCCATCATGCTGCTGGGGTCCTTGTCTGGGCCATGGAAAACCACTATCAGCAGCTTAGAGCCGGAATAATCCTCAGTTTCACAACAAGTAAGAAGTGATGTTTCTGGGATCACAGATAACTTCTTTGCCACTGGAATATCACCAAATGGTAGGTGGGTTCTGAGGTATACTTAGTACTAGTTTCAAATACTTCAAAAATTAAATGGGTTTTATAGACTGGACTGGGAAGCCAGACACCATGCGAGCTATCAGTATTTCCTACAGGGAAATGCATTCAGAGCTTTGGAACCAACATATTCTCAGATGAGGATGGCCTGTTCACACAGGGCTATATATTGCCAGAACCTAATGCGTAGCTTGAACACACTACCTCAGAAGAAAACCTCCTGGGTTAGGATTCTTGCCAACATGGCTTGTTGAAAACACAAATTTTTTGTCTTCTGAATATTTATTTCTGCATTCAAGAGTTGGGGTGTGGGACAGAGATGTGGGGGGTGGGGGTGGATTTAAGAAATTCACCAGAGACAAAGTGGGAAGCAGAACAGGCAGATCTACTGAAATACACTGCTGAGGGAGACATGGGGGAGGTCTGCTGCACCCTGTGGGTCAGCTCCCCTGCTGGGATCGGGCTCATGCTGCAGTGGCTGTGGAGAGCTTCATAGTGCTGTGAATTAAGCCCTTGCACCACCAGGGAGGCCAAAAAGTCAAGCTTTCAAAATCAGTTCTTGGTGAGCAGAATTCAATGGAAATCGTGTACTCTGCCATTCCCAATTCTCATCTCTGCTCTGTCACCTAATAACTTGGTGATATGGGCGAGTTATTAACTCACCAGAGCCCCATTTCCTCAAGGACACAATCAGAATTGTCCTTTTTGTAGATTCGGTGTGGTTACAATATCAACAGCTACTCCTCGGCCCTATCAAAAAAAAAAATGGACATCAACTTAATTTCCCTCTACCTCCTCCCAGTCACTGAATTTGTGTGAAAAGATAGAAGGGGAAGTACCAGAGACAAATGTGCCCCCAGAAATCCACAAGTAACGGGGCGCAGGGAAGAGGGGCAAAGAGGATGTCCAGTGTCTGCTTCCCAAATCCACGTTCACCTTCGAAAATTACTTGCTTTCTGTCAGGAATGTCACAATCCCAAAGTATCCCTTTTCTCTTGTTCTAACACCTCCAGCCTACATCTGACAACAACACACAGAAGTATTCTTTGTCTTGTAAGTTCTTCCAGAAGTTAAAATGACTTCGAAGTGAGCTATTTGTATGGGACAGCAGGTAGTCAGGGCACCAGCAGAGGGAATCATTAGCCAGGTCAGGCCCATTTGCTGGCCATAACCAATCTTTTGGTTTCCAAGGGAATTGACTTGAATCACATTAAAAATTTGAGGATTTGTGAAGATAATAGGCCCCAGCACCCTTGTCTCCTGGCAGTTCTGTGGTATAGCTGATTTATGAATACTAAGCATTGTCCATCACCAGGAAACCCAGACATTAGGCAGGGAGTGATCAACACAGGCCAACAGATGACAAAAAGTATAAAAATATCTGTCACCACCCGCCACAAAAATCACAGCTTAAGGACTTCACTGTGCTGGCCGTGCTGAGCTGTACTGCAGTAATTAACTCATGTTTCTGCTCACAGACAGTCTGGTGATTGCTGCTTGACTGCTTCTAAGAAGAGGTTTATTTGGATTAAGTTTAGCAGCCACAGAGCAAATTTCCTTCACTTGCTGGTCCCTGGGCTTGGAAGCAATGGTTTTTGTCCTGTTTTTGAATAACTGTCTCACACTTATACATCTGAGGAATGTTCTGGAGTGAAGCCCTGCAGTGTCTCCCACACCAGGGCACAACATTTCCAAGTTGAAACAAGTCCCCACAAGACAACCAATGTCATTTTTTTGAGGTAGGCACATGGTGCCCCGAGTTGATAATAAAAACCTCACTCCTGTATGGAGAGGTTGGTTGATAGCTGCCCATGGCCTTCCAGTCAGGACTGTCCTGTAGCCTACTATGCAAGCTATCACTGGTGAACCTGTCAGAGGGGGAGGCCTGGCCTCGGTGATTGTCGGACAGTCCTGAGGCTGGATGGAGGTCAGTTAGGGCGCACCTCCTGCAGAGATGAACCATGCCCCCCCTCCCCTCAGAAGCTTGTTGAGACCATGTCTATGGTTCCCTGCTGTGTTTGGAGGCCTAATGGGACTATCATTGCTAAAATTTTTTTTTTTGGCATAATGCCACTGTGACCTTTTAATCTGCTAACAGCCAAGGAAAGGTAAGTCAAAATAAATTCACAGGATTATTTTACTATAAAAGCCTTTTGAACAGACAAAGTAGATTAGTGGTTGCCTAGGGGTGGAGGTGGGGCAGGGTCAGTGATAACAGGAGCAAGTTTTCTTTCAAAGGTGATGAAAATGTTCCAAATTGGATTGTGGTGATGTTTGCACAACTTGAAGAATCTATTAAAAACCACTGAATTGTGCAATTTCATTTGTTATGGCCTATGAATTATATCTCGATAAAGCTGTTAGGAAAGTCTCATGGAAAGAGATCAAACAAAATTGCAGGGCTGAGAACCAATCAAGATCACTGGAGCTAAACTTTAAGTAAATCCAGGATTTTTCACTGCCAGTCATCCAGAACAAACTCGGTGAGGAGTCATCCTCTACTTGGAGAATTGTCTCTTTGCTCAAAGTAGCTCTTCCAGCCAAGGCGTCAGTGGTATTTAGAAATAGTCCCTTTTGAACCACATCCTTCTTTTCTGGTCACTATGTAATGCTAGCTCCTGGAACTCTGTTTTCCTTGGACCGTGAAGACCTTGGCCGGAGGTGAGATTAGTGTAAGAATGGAGGGGGGGTCAAGAATGAGCAATTCTTCATGCCTCACAATGTCTTGCAAGTCGGTGGGATAATTCAAAGTTAAGCTGCTTCAGACTAAGGATGTGATTTCTGGGCACTGATCATTTCTTTCTCATCAGTTTTGGACAAATTGGATTTATGACTTGGCTAGGAGCAGGGTTCTTTCATTCTTTCTCATTATTGGTTTACTTTGGCAGCTAGTAACAGTGGTTGCAAAACGGCAGTATGGAGGGCATAAAAGAACAAATTTCCAAATGTGAAATATATGAAATCTACATTCACTCACCTATTAAAAAGAGCAAGGACTTTCAAATGTGGTAATACGCAGCGTGATCAGGGTTTGGACAACGAGAGCACTGGTATACCTGGCTAATGGCAGGGCTTAGTACTGACCCTAAATATTTATTGCTTTGTCACAATAATTCCATTTCTCCTTATTTATGTCAAATTACCAGTAGCCCATAAATCATGCACATATCAAATGCTTGGAATTTAGGGGGATAGCTAAAAAAAAGTAAAGCAAACTAGACAATAGACCATTATGCATTAAAAAGCATTTAATGACAGAAATACACTAAAATGGTAAAAGGCTCAATTGCTTAGTGGAGAAAAATATTTATAAGCAATAGCCAATTTTATAGAAACATGGGCAGAAAAACTAGAGGACAGGAAGCTGCTAGATGGCTTTGCTATATACCATGCCTGTTCCTTAAGGATTTCTTTTTGAAAGGCCCTTCAGTGGACTTTTCCTTTAAAACAATTACATCAAAGTACATGACGATTTCAGTCCGAAGGTGTCAGAAAGAATTGTCTTACCTTTTAGAATTAGATGCATTGAAAGAGTTTTAAGTCTTTAACATTCTCTAGTTGGACAATTCTATTTCTAGAATTTCTCATCTTTATGGTATAGTAGTGTTGCCTAAAACACACACGATTCTGGGTCTTGAAAGCCCTGAGATGTTGCTTTCAGCTACAAGTCATAGAGTGACCATTTACAGCTCCCGCAGAGATGCAGGTTCATGCTAAGAAACAGGTTATGAAGAAAAGAAGCCGTGGTGATGCTGCCATTTCTCTTGCCATCGGTCCCTCCTTTCACAGACCCTCCCACCGCATATGTTGGGTCAGCTCCTGGAGTTCACAGCCCTGTGGTCCATAGTGGCCACCCCTAAGGCTGGGGAAAGAATCTGCTATTTTTACTGGAAAACAAGTAGCAACTATTAGTTCTGATGACTATACTCTGGGTCTGGATTTGCTGCACCTTTCTTTATAGTTCTGATACCAATTGTTTAAAAAATAGGGCTCAGTGGGTTGTCTCAGCACTATGAAGCTATCTGCAGCCACTGAAGCACAAGTCTGATCCCCGGACAGGGAGGTGACCCACATGGCACAGCAGATCTCTCTCGATTACTGCTCCCCTCAGCAGTGTATTTCAGTCAGTCCTCACATTCTGCTCCCTACCCTGGTGAATCTTCACACCCCTCCCCAACACCTCTAACCTACACCCTAGTTCTTGTATGCATAAATAAATCCTTAAAGAAAAAAAGGACATTTTGTTCATCCACAAAACATATCAAGAAGAGCATTTTAAATAATGCAATCTGAAAAATCAAGCTCTGGAACTCTGCATACTAGATATGTTTGTGAATTAACGTAAGGCATGAATCCTTACTGCCTCTTTTCTGAAATCTGCAAAAAAAAAAAAATCTTGTTCTTCTTACATATGAGTCCACAAATAGTTGCCAGCACTGCTGTTTCCACAGCTCCACATATCAGAAGCAGTGTCTGAAGGATTCCTTTGTTGTTTTTCTTTTCTTCCTGACTATAAAATTGCTGCTGTTGCTCTAACTCTAGGAATCACTTATTGTTGGGGGCAAGATAAATGGGAGGGAGGGGCCATGCCAGCCCAAGGAACTGCTTTCCAAGATGTGCCTGCAACCGGTCCAGCAAATCTGCACCATGCCTCTCGGGCAAGGACTCAGAGCTGAGGTCGGAGGCTCTGAGCCTCCGTCGTAGGAAATGGTAACAGAAGTTCGTCAGTATGAGCTCTGGGTGTCAGTCAGTAGGCTGCTGAGGGCAGAACACATCATTGCAGTGGTTCATGTGGCCGATGTGTATACACACGTCTCCATATGCACAGAATGTAGGTGTTTGCTTCTAAGATTTGGGATCTATTCAGTAACTACATCTCATTGTTGAAATTGTCTAAGTCTCTGGACGATGTTTGCCAAGTTCTTAGAAAGAGCACATTTGATGCACAGCATATCGTTTAAGACTTAATAATGAACAGAAGCTTTCTAGAAAAATCTGCCTTCATCATCAGTATTACTGGGGTGTAGCCTGCCTGTGGTGCAGACTCTTCAGCAAGGCTGTTCTGTCTCCATCTCCACCTCCAACTCAAATGTGCTGTAAGGTCAATCCAACCATCTATTTGGTCCTATCCTTCCTACCTTCCCCAAGGAAGGAAACCAAACAAATTCACAAACTCAAAGTAAAAAAAAGCTTTCGATTTCCTCAGAAGAGCATCTGCTACAAGTAGCATGTCAATTGTAATGTCAAACAGCAGTTTGGGAAGCATCTTTATTCTAGAGTCAGGAAAGACCATTTGCATTTTACCAGACTATTTCTGCTCATGTTATAATCTAATAATTAAATTGCCGTAAGAGGTTATTTACTCTGTTCCCTTTAAATCTGTAATGGTTAGAAGAATTACATGAGATTATTTGTGCCCCTCAAATTTCCCCCCCAAAAAAATATGTATATATATACATATATATATATCACACTGTATAAAATTAGTTTCTCAGTAACTCTTACCTAGACTCATAACCCCTAATGGTTTACTTTCTTTTGACTACTATAATGTTATTAGACAGGGCACTCTCTTGAAGCTGTGTGCTTACCTGATTCATTTCCATTGCTTCCCCCAAGAAATCATTTGTTTCATATCTTTAGCATAACAGTAGTAGCAGCAAACAAAGAGGTGACAAGTGTGTTCTGTTTATAATGTTAATAAAAATAAAATAGCACTTGACTCACTCAAGATATTTATTTACATTTGTCAGAATTATTTTCACTGCAAAAGGGGAAAGTCAAACAAGTAACTGACCAGCTACAAACAACAACTACCAGTACAAGGGAAGAAGTGTCAGGAAATTCACCCACTCCCCAAAAGTCCACAGGGAATTCTTGTCCTTCCTTCTCCCTTTTCTTTTTCGCATGTGGCTGTGACAACTTGGGACATCCACATTCTTAAAGAAACTGTGATTGTATTTTTAGAGTTCCAAGCTGAAAGGTTATCAGAAGAGAGACGTGAAGCTTGGTGGCCTTGGACCTGACCTTGAGTCCATCAGAGACAAAGTAAGTGTGATGTACATGCAGCAGCCTCACTCTTGTCTTTGCCCATCTGTCCCTGAGCAAAACTGTAACCAAGTCCTAATTCAAATCTCTCTCTCTGAATAGAGACCTTTCTGCAACAGCATTGGTTATAGAGACCCAGATACTCCTTTTACCGTGAAATGAAATTACTTAGCCAATGTGGCTTTATGTATCCTCCTTTTAGTTCTGAAGGCCCAAACAGAAAAGAGGGGCACGTGCACATGAAAAGAGATGTGTGTGTTACAGGGTTGTTGGTCTTTCCCAATAGAGTTATCTTGGTAATTTTGAAGAGTGGCTACAGAGAAGACACTTAGGGTAAGAGTTTCCCAGCCCATGAAAAGTGCATCCACTTTATTCTCTTTCCTCGAGTGAAAGGAGATCTTCATTTAATGTGTTTTAACTGCAGTTGCACTCAAGGCATAAAAAGAGTATAGTTCAAAGTTGGAAGCAAAAATGAAAATAAATTGGGTAAATGCAACAAAGAAGGGGCTGAAAGTGATTTAGCCACTGTTAAGAGAACACTGGCTGTGCTGTTGCGGGGACTGTCCCCCTCAGAGAGACCCTTTCCAAGAGGAACAGGAATTTAACCATGTCACTGCCGCCTCATTCCAGGTGGCACCCACTCTCCCGTGTGCTGCTACAGTGTGCCATTGCCCTAAAACGAGGGTCGCTTTAAGTAGAGAAAAGAGGCTTGAACAGAACCCGTGAGGCATTCTAACTTTGTTTCACTAAACAGATGCAGAAATTAGTACAGCAAAAGGAATATGCAAAACAGGTAAAGGAGTACAACATGAGGACACGGTCCATTCTGTCAAAGCCGCAAACCGCAAAAACCGAGAATAAATCTGTAATCCCACGGCAAAAGGTAAGATTCTCACAGGACCAGCTGTCTTGAATGAAAACGTAAACGTCTGTTACCTCATCATTTAATAAGCTCCCCCCAGCTTTTATTGAACACAGGGGATGCTTTAGCTACTGCCATTCTTCCAGCTACTTGTCATTTATGGATGTAAAAATGACACATGCACACAGTGATGCAGGTGAACCTTATGTTTTTCTGAAGTTTGTTATTGTTGTTAGTCTGAAATGTGTTTCCTTCCAAGTATAGTATTTTACATTTGTTACACATACAACAATTAAAATAGGGCGATTTCTTAAAAGAAACTAACAATCCTGCTGAGCTATCCGTTTCCTACTCTACCATGAAATAAATTTTTAAGAAAAGCCATGCCTACTGGCTATTAACAAGTACTTACACACAAAGACTTTCATTGTTTCTCTCAAGTTCAAATTCCCCTATCTGTTTCCAGAGGGATTGTCTATATAGATTCCTCTACCCAAAAAAAGCGATTTCAGCAAATACAGAATGTTCTCCTTCTCAGATGTCATCTGACTACAAGTGGTGATACAGAGGAAATACATTCTGTAAGGGAAAGAGAACGAGGCAGATCTGCCTCCATCCCACTACGGACATGGGATATTTGGCATAAGGGACAAGTGACTCTTTTAGGAATTTGTACTCTGTGTTCTTTCACAAACCATCCTATTTCCTCCCTATTGCCTTTCTTCCCCAGACCTTGAAGACCTCAATCCACTAGAGTTTCCATGGTGCCACTTTTTTTTTCTCTCCATAATTTTTTCATGAAGAGATTCAAGGCAACAAGTCTATAATTAGAAATTCCTACAGAAGTCACCTCCACACAGAGAAGTCTGGAGTTTTTCCCCTGGGGCCTCAATAAACTACTTGTTTTCATTACAGCTTTCAAGAAACTTACTAAAATATAAAGCAGAGATAAAGGGAGATTTAGAGATTGTGATCTCATTTTTATTGTAATTCAGAATTCACATCACTGGGGGAAAAGGACCTGCCTTTTTGCATATCCAGTTTTTTATAAGTATAGTGAAGAAATCATCAATTTAGAGTTCTAATATGTACTTTGCAGCATTCTAGGCGCCTAGAAACAAAAACAGTCAGTGTGATAATGGAGGCTCAGTTTCTATCAGCTGCTACAATGTCTGTTGGTTTCAAGCTGTAAAAAGTCCTCTTTGGATGGAAAGGTCCTAATATCTCCTAAGAAGTTTGGTTTTAATGTTTCTACCAAAGAGTAAGCAGATAATATTCATCAGACACCTATTTTCAAACATTTGCCCAAAACTCAGTTTTATAAAGAAAATATCCATAGGCAAGACTGTCAGCATCAATCTGTAACTCCTGCTTTCCCCCCACTGCGTCATGTCAAGTGGCTAATTTCTTTTGTTTAAATTGTGTTCTGTTGCATCACTCACATTCTCCATTTAATTCTCTTTCCACCCACGTCTATAGTATGTTACTGTAGCAACAGTCCTTTTTCCTGAGACTAGATTTCACTTAATGAATCCAAAACACATTTCCCATATCAAATAAACTTTACCCTTATACTTTTTTAGGCTTTGGAATATGCTAAGACGATACCCAAACCCAAACCAGCAAATCTGACAGATTCAACATCCAAGGCAAAGAAAAACCCAAACTATGCTGGAAAAGAAGAAACTTTACCAGAAATCTCACTGCTGGAAATACTACAGAATAGACATGAAAGGGAAAAGCAGGCTGTGGCTGCATTTAAAGTGCTTCACATTGTGTAGACAACACTTGCAGAGGGGACCAAACACCTGGCAATGGATGTGCAGTAAGGAAAGTCCATCCAGCCACTCTGCTTGGAGGGGGATCACCTAGGATCACCATCGAATTGCAGCCCATGCTCGCCTTGTGTGAGATTTAAAATATGGGCCCTATTCTACTATGGAGTCATCCTTATTTTCTAGAAAGAAATTTTAAGTGTTTATTTTTGAATCAGTTAAAACTGGGGCTGAAGAAGTAGGGAATAAAGCCTATGTTTTATATAATGCATCGTTTGATTTCTTAAACTATCTCTACCTTTTCTTAGAATAATGAAAACTCTGAAGTTACCGAAGGAATAAGTTTGTGTTTCTTTTCACTCCTGTTTCTACTAACATGAACTCAAATTGGTATCTCAGTCTACTGGGAATTAGCCCATTTCTAAAATATTTCTAAAACTCTAAATTTAGCAAGGGTTCATAAATAAAATTGAAAACGTAAGAGTACATCAAGATTTGCCTATTTAAGTCAATTGAGCCCCAATGTTGTTCAAACAGGGCATCATGACATTGCCCAGAAACCCTCCAGTAAGTTTCAGCTCAGGCACCCTGGGGGCTGCTTTCTCCAAGCAGCTTACTGTTGAGTATTGACATCTGCCAGGCAACCTGCCGTCACACTACTGAATAGACATGGCAAATGTGTGCTATCACACAGCAGAAGAGGAGGCAAGGCAGAAGCCTTCCATAGTTTACTGCTAACTGTTGCTATACTTTTCTTCATCTTTTGGAACTGAACACTGTAAAATTTCCAGGTCTTAAGGTAGGTGGAGGGTTTAATATTTTTCCTTACACGTTGTATTGCATTCTTAGACAGTCATATCCACAAATAGACAATTTTAATAACTGAGAGCACATCTGTTTAACTAGACAAATGGCATAAAGATATGGAGATTTACTCCTATGTTGTCTCATTTTATGTATACCATGTTGTGGTATACAAGTTCCTTCTGAAAAGCTTTCTCTTACACCTGAAAGCAAGTAGAAGAATTGCAGCTCTAGAAAGATCACAAGTATGTGAAGGTGAAGAGAAAACTAGTGAATAGTCTAATAATATTTAGAAAATCGTATCAGTCCTGACAACTTGATTCAGGAAAATCATAGCCCATGCTATGACAAATAGCATTTTGAAAAAAAAAAAAAAAAGGCCCCATCAGGGTACATGATGAAGACTTCTAGAAACATGAGCTAGAATATTTTTCCTAAGTGGTTTTATATTTAAGCTTACTCTGGAAGATAAGATATAGACATTCCCACATTTTTGGGTAAATTGTTTAAATGTTCCATTTCTATTAGAGGATCTTAAAGGGATCCTTTAAAGAATTTGGAGTTAGGAATGGCTTTATCTTACTCTTACTCGGCTGCCAATTTTTCAGAAGAGGAAACATGTCAAGAAAGGAAAAGTGATTCTGAAATGGGCACTCCTACTGACAGCAAGGAGAGGGTAGCTGATCTACACGCCAGTCTTTCACACCTGCTTATTCATGGAAGAGGTTTTTCCAAGCAAGGAAAGGAATCCATTAAGAATTTCAATTCTACACCTAAACTTCCATCAAATTTGATTCTTAGAAATATGTACTACTCTCTCATATTGGAAATGTGTCATCCAGAAACTTTGTTACTACATTGATAAAGTCCTGAGTTATTAATAAAGCAATTCTGATGTTTCCAGAACATAAAAAGCCTTCCCATAATCATTGCATTGTGCAATCCTTCAAGCCCTTTCACACACACTGCTAAGAATCCACCCTTAGCAGAAGCAGGTTAAACGATTCAGTTGAGGTCAAACAATACAGAGGATCTTCATTCCTAGTATATAAAACTTTTATCATCTAGTGTATAAAACTTTAAAACATTGCAAATTCTTGCATATTGAGAGTAATAGGTGGTATCTGAAATTCATAGACCTCACCTAAAAAAAAAAAAAATGACAGGACATATTTGCTGAAAGTTTGAGGTAGAAATCAAAGAAGCCAAACAGGTTTCCCTCTGGCCCCAAGTCATCCCAGGAGTGGGACTCCAGGTCATAGCTTCCTTTGGCTGCACCACCACCAGCTTAAGAGTCTACACAAACACCTGTTTTCTCCTCCTTTAAGTAATACTAATAACAATGTGGGTATTTGACAGATCCCAGTGGATTCCTGATTGATTTTTATGGTATTTGTTTCATATTTTAAAGAAGTACAATCTGTCTATTAGATAGAAGGGAATGTCAAGTGTGTGTGATTATGACAAAGGACCTGTATTTGAACAGATGTTCTACTCATCACTGAGACTTAGTGCCTAATCTGCTTAATCTCCACAGAAGTTGGTGTAAATAAAGGACCTTTAAACCGCATATCCTCTTCTTATTCTAGCCTCCTTTTTATGGTGTTTTTCCATACCAAATTTCCAACAAGAACATCCTCTTAGAGGGAGATTTTTTTCACAAGTAGCTGCATTTAATGACAGCTGTCTTCACATCAGTTGTTTGTATAGTGAGGAGCCTCTTGGGAGTTATCTAGAAACCAACTCAAGGAAAGACAATATTGAAAAACAATATAAAAGATAGGCCTAGCAAAGGCATGATGGCTAATTGTTCCAGTTGGGGCATTATTGGTTAATGAATGATTGTCAAAACATCACAGCAAGCATAAGCATGTACAGTCTAGTCTACAGCGAGAAAGTGACTCTTCATCCCAACAGTTATTAGCTGGGAGTTGTTTGCAAACACATCCAGTAATTAGAATAACACTGAAGCTAATTGAGAACTTAGAGTTGATAGCAAATGATCGACAATAGCAGACTAGATAAGCTCAAGGGGGATTTTTTAATTACTTATTGAAAACCAGCAGAAAATGATGTGAGTGTAGGTAACAATCTGCAGATATCAGGGCAAGTTCTCTGCAAAATGTGCTCAAAAGCCGTATTACCTTTATATGTTAGAAGCAGCATTTGAAAATGTAAACATCTTAAGGAAAAAAAAAAAGTGACTCTCCTATATACATTTTGCTTTTTCAAGATTACCTTTCCTTATCAGAATAGTAAATATTGAATAAATCATTTCATGCAACTCAAGTATTCACTGGATGGCCTCCCTAAAACTGAGTCCCTTTCCATAGCTTCTATTATGAACAGATAAAAACAAAAACAAGAAACATGTAAATACTCCCTTTGCTGGGTAGTTGTTTTTCCAGGGAGTAAAGAATTTAAAACAGTAGCTCATGGTTGAAAAGTTTTAATTATTGTGGATTTTATGTCTCCATAGTACCTTATTGCACCCCCATCCCTGATGATAGAAAGCTGTCTATATTGTCAAACAATATGGGTACATTATAAAAGGCAAAATAGTGGAGAAATATGTATTCTAATACAAATTTTATTCAGATATTTATTCCACTTACTAATATATACATAGGATCTCAGGGTAGGTAAAATCTGATACTCAAAATGGTTTCCTCATTCACTGCCTGCAGACTAAATGTAGTATTTATTTCTGCTCTCCCTCTAGCTTCATTAAACACAGCTACACATCTTTCTCACAAAGGTACAGAGAAAACATTAAACATCTCAATTTCCTAAGCGAACATCTGGTCAATGGAAAGCAAAAGGTTATGGGTGACAAGTGTTTCCTTTCTCCCTCTTTTATATTCTAATCCTACAGATTCCCATTTTCATGTTTTGGTTACTAAATTTTGATACCTTGAAATGACTGGAAGATTACGGTCTTCCCAAAATGTTATGAAAACCTCACTTTACAAGATGCAACAAGATCCAAAATAAATCATTTTTCAGCTTCTATCCCTCAATATATGGACTCTCTGGGTATTATGAAGAGAGGAAAAAAAGAATTTGGTGGGTAGAATTTATCCCCCTTGCTGCCTCTCCATTGCCTTTTCATTTTCCCCTTGCAAACCTGAGCCATCTAAGTAATTAATTTTCAATAAGCTGAATAAATGATCTTTCACTACTAAACAGCGCTAACAGAATGAGAGTGTTACAATGATAGGAGCATTTCAGGAAAATGTATCTATGAAGACTGGGGAAGATGCGATTTTACAAATATCCTTTATTGAGTTGGCAGTCAGATACCAGCGGCTGCAAGCCTGCTCCCCTGGGGTCCTCCTTTCCTAGGCTCCTGACCTCTGCAAGAGATATTTAAATGGTACCCTTCTGGGGCAAATTTGAGGGTGGGGGAAATAACTCCAGAGACTTAAAACCCCAAAAGCCTAATCACTTATCACTTGGGAAACCATCTATACAATAGAAGAAAACAGACCAAAATAAATATGTAGCGAATAAAACCTAGATGTTTATGCTAAGTAATTTGGATCCCACGTATTCTCTTTCCTCTGTGGCAGATTTTTCTCCCAAATTAGTCCTAAGGCTTTTTTTTTTTTTTTTGGCACCATCTAGACAAACATCAAAATCACTATCATGACACTTGAGTGGCCTCACCTCAAATCTCTAACCATCACCTGGCAGTGATGCATCTCCATTTCCTCAGTCCCCACACAATGGTGACACTTTGAAGCAGTGCTGATGAGGTCCCGAAATTTTGTTTCTACTTAAAATTGATAGTCTCCTATCACACAAACTCAAGCACCTATTTTTAATGAAAGCTTTAGATGAATATCAAAGAACTATTTAGCCATGTCTAATATTTTAATTAGATTATATTCTCAATTTAACCCATCAAACCTCCTTTGATGATCCCCACATTTAGTGTTTAGCCTCAGATGCACGAGGTAATGAATACTGGACCTTTTGATTTAATGAGAATTTCAGCTCTTCCAGCCTGCGCCTCTTTTGTATACCTTTTATTTTGCTGGCTATAGAATTCAGTTAATTGAAGGAGTCTCTTACCATCGTACATTAAGGGGTATAAATTAGCATCCCCATTCTGATTGGAAAATGCAAGCAGACAGTTTTGCTTTGATCTGAGGACTGAACTGAAGAAGGAAGCAGCCCTCTGAAAATGAGCTGATGGCCTTGTTATCCGGGCAAAATGCAGATGCATCCATGTGTCACAAAACACTTAATGTCTTAATTGATCACCTTCCAATTCTCCTTGTCCCGTTTGTCCTGTTTGCATCATTCTCGTGAGGAGTGTGTGTGCATGTGTGTGTATGGAATTGTGTTTCGGTAGTTCTATATTGCTTTCTCTTGTTTATCCTGTTTTTCTACTCAGGGCCAGAGAC